TAATAGCATACAATCCTTTCTTTTTTCCCCCCTCTTAGCTGATGACATTGTCTCAACCAACACTGCATTCTGAATATTAAGAGGCCAGAATCTTATTGATTTCTTACACTGGTATAAGTGCAGTGGTGTAAACTGCAGCAACAAAAATGCTGCTGCATAAGGAGTTGCTACTTGCATCCTTCATCATGCAACTCATGCTGACTGGCATAAGGAATGCAAACAGGGACTTGTTCACTAACAGCAATCTGCACTTACACTGGTGTAAATTACCCATAGGATCTTGGCCACTGTGCAGTGCATGTGCCTGCTCCTGTTTCTAACAGATGGCAGTTGTTTCACTCATGAGTAATTTGTATAATACAGTTTTCAGGTTTCTTGCTTTCCACATCCCAAAGAAAGAGAGGAGCGTTGGCTCAGTTTGAAGGCAGTTTACCCCATCATCATCTCATCACTGATGCAAATGTGAAACCAAGCATACTGAAAATGCTAGTGTGAAATATTGGCAGGGGACTGAATTTTAATATACATCATGCCTTCAGAGATATGGAAGATAATGATTATCAGAAGTGAGCAGGTTGCAGCAAGAGGGATGAGCTTGTATCATATTCTTTCAGGAATAAAGCAAGGTTTTCCATTTTTAGAGTCACACTACGGTGGAAAATAAGTTCATCCCCATATTATTAATTCAACATTAATTCTGCAGAGGCCTTTGGACGGGGAGTGCCAGAATGAATTCTTTTGAATTCATCTTGAATGTTGGACCTTTTGCTGTGTGAAGGCTTGGACTAAAGAAGTACAGTAGGCAAGAGATCATAGCTAAGTAACTTTGCAACAAGCTAAATTCTCTTTATGATGTGGGTTGTCTTGCTGCTCCCGCCAGAGTAAGCCATAACAACTAACAGATTGGACTCGATATGTTCACATTTCAAAGTCCCATATGTTAGTGGTTATGGATTTCTTCAGTAGAAGAAGCAGCACATTATACAGAGAATTTAGCCTGTTGGCTAAAGTTCATGATCCTTTTAAAACCCACCTTGGGATGAGTGTCTGAATCCTGTATGAGACAGGATGGGGAAATATTTGGCTGTCCAAGGATTTAGGCTCCTTAATTCCATGAACTTAACTTCCAAGAACATAGCTAATGGTAATAGACTAAAGTGGTGCTTGTCCAAAACATGAGGATGGCCAACGGTTTCCGGCACTAATCCATAGGGGACAATCAAGCCCAAAGAAGACAAAAAAATTGAAGAAATCTTAACAGTGATGTACTCCAATGCAGACGGCAACATTATAAAATCAAGCACACAAAAGTACGTGGGCTTCTGCATTCCCATTCCATTTTCTAAACAATATTTCCAATTAAATTCTTTAAATATATTGTATGATCACACTTCATATTTTATTCTTTATAAACATTACAGTTGCCAAGGTTTGTATTAGATTATGAAGGGTTTGAGGAATACCAGGCTAAACCAGCAATCTCTTTAGAGGTCAGTTCACATGGATCTCCTTTACTTATCATATTAGAAGTCTAGAGGCATCTCTGAAGTCTATTGTTAGCCAAATTGTATGGAAGATTTATAGTGAAGTGAGGTGGGAGGTTGGAATGTCTTTGGATCAAGCTCTGCAGACTGTAACCCTAACCTAGCCTTTACACTATAAAGAAACCGGTCAACCAACTCAGAGAATAGCTGGGAACACCTTGTGAAAAGAAAATTAACTTTGATGGAGAGGTTCAAACAGATTCCACATCCTGCATCTCCCCTCCCTGATCACAACAAAATACTTAGGAAACACTTAACACTCATCAGCTCTGTTTATGGCAGGCTGATAAAAATATGCAGAATGATGTACAGAACCTCTAGGAGGTGGTGAAGCCATGTGTTCCAACATGTAAGAGTTGTGACTTATTACCTCTTGAGCCAACCCTAATTCACATCATCAGGACTGTGGCATCTCCTGCGAACCTCATATGTAAGCTGACTAATGACTAAATTATAAGACAAATTAGTCAGTCCTTGAATAACCTGCAGCATATAAAATGCAAATCTCTACGACAAGGAACTAGTTCCAAAATAGGTAACAGAAATTAATGTGAGATTTATTGTTATTTGATGCCTGTTCTTTAAAGTCCATGGGTATTTTAACACCAGGCAATTGAGTTTTGTTCATGTTTCTTGTTCTTATATGAAAAGGTGATAACCTCACGTCTGTCTCTGGATTGTGTTCTTCAACAACAAACCAAAGCTGGGGTATGTTCTCTTTTTCCAACAGATTGTTCATAACTGTACTTATGAATTATTTACTATTAATTCATTTTTGATTGCTTGGGAATGAATATCAAATACTTATTTATAAAGGAGAAAATGTGCTGTGTGATCATGTATTGTATGTCAAGTGCTTGATTGGAAACAATAGTAATCAAAACTTTTAAAAAACATGACAACCAAGGGTGAAGCCTGAATGATGTAACTGAAATAATCTTTTTGCCCAGTCTTCTCTCAAAATGGTGAAAAAGCAAAGGATATAATTGTATTTGGTTTTCCACTGCAAAAAAGTTACAGAAAAATCTGATCAGAACTGCTAAATCCTGTATCTCCAGTAGATGAGACACAGAAGAATCTCAGGGTTTGCAAACAAAAGATTTCTGGACCACAGGATGACAATGTAAATTGAGCAGAATTACGCAAAATGATGCCAGTCTGTGACTTCTCTATCCTTCATCATAGGCATCCTTCAGTCTTGAGAGACTATGGTAACGTGCTCTGTATGGAGGACTTGGAGCAGCATCTGTTTGATGCTGTATGCGAATCTGGAGTGTCCTCTCCAGAGCATGAAGCCTGGGTAAAATAATATGGAGGATAGGCTGTTACCTAAGCAGCAAATCCCCCCTCTCCACATCACTGAAATAGTCCAATGGAAAGGCAAGAGCCAATACAACTGGTTCCAGCGACGTCGCAGGAGTTGCCAGTATGACACGAACACAACTCGAGCTCCAGATTTTGCCTCGAGGTTAACTCCTGAAGCCTTTTCCATCAGTGGATATAACCA